GAGATGCTACTTGTTGTCCAGTGAGGCCGGAGGATCTTGGATTCTCGAGGATGCTCGTTTCCTAAACAGCACGAATCCGTAACTGAAGTGGTTTCGGCTTCAGCTGGCACATCCATCTTCCATTAGTGCCTCCGTTCTTGGTAGCGGTGGCAGCGGAACTGGGAAAGGGACAGTAACAACCCACAGTCTGCGGGAGCTGGCATGTATGCCATGGGGTACGATGCCCCTTGCTCTGCTGTGACGCTGCTTTCCCTGGGTGCATGGGAAGCAAATCTGCAGCAGGTGGCCAAGAATAAATCCAGTAGCCTTGTCAATAGCTGACCACCCTGGGGAAATGTCTTCCCAGCCTGCAGCAGGATGGTGCATCAAATCATCCAGTTAGCGTGCACCCTCTGCCCCCACCTCAGGGGCATCTCCTCCCTCTGTTCTCTTTCGAACTGCCATGACGGCCCAGTGGTAAAGAGGTGCCGTTCTTGGATCTGGTGGCCATGGTGGTTAGCTTAGAGCTAGGGTCGGAGACAGCCAGTTGGTGTCAGAGGGGTAGGTGGGCCTATGGTAGCTAGCCTTGTCCTGATCTTACCCGCTGTGAGCATTCTCTGCTAGCGTATGGAAACCAGTGTCCTTCGAGACCCCGAAGTGTGTTGTGACTCTCCTTCAGTGCGATCCGTGTGAGACGAAAGCTGCTCTCTTGCCTAGTTCATATGTGGATATAGTCCTGTAATTCGAGGTAACTCTTTTGCTCGTGTCCGCATCTTCTCTCCTCCACAGTTCGTCCCTAGGGCTAACGCTGGTCTTTTTTTGGACTGACTTTTGGGGGCCTGTCTGAGCTGTGCCTAACCCCTACCGCTGTGGGGGAGGCAGTCTGGACTGTACACAACACCCAGCCTCCCCCTCGTGCGCACTGCCGTTTGGTCCAAGACTTTAAAATCCATGCCTTGTGCAGCCCTTGGACTCGTGTCTGCTGGGAGGGGCTGTTCCCAGTGCAGCGGGGGGAGGTGGGGGAGCCAGTGCCTTGACCTGCCAGGTTAAATTGCTATGCGACGGTGACAAGACACCTTTTTGGTAGGTTCTCAAATGGGGGTGGGCGGGAGTCTCCGTAGTGACTGACTCTCCAAGGTTGGCCAATGGGTGGCATTGGCCAGTCCTGGAGTAGCCTGCTCAGACCGCCGGGTTCAGTGACTTGCTTGTGACATGCTGGGCAAGTCCAGGCTGGCTAGTAACACGGCTTTGCTTTGGCAGGTGGAAGCAGCGCTGCCAATGGCCCTACCATGAAAGGAAGGGATACGGAGACCGGACCAGGATTCGGCCCGAGGTATGGCTCCGGGCTGTGCCCCGCATCCTATGGCAAAGAGCCCAGCTCCGCCTTGGCGAGGGGCAGTAGTGGCCCCATGTGCCGTAGGGCTGGGGTGGGAGCGGATGGAGAAGGGTCCAGTGATTGGTGGTGGCTTAGCCCTGCTGCCTGCCAGCTTCTGAAGTATGAACCTGTGTCCATCTCTCCCTGCAGGCTGGCCGTATCGCGCACAGGACTCGCCGCGAGGGCATCCACACGCCTGAGCTGTCCAGCCCCAGTGCTGCTGCTGAGAGCCTGAGCCCGTCAGCCAGAGCAGGCGCACACCCGGCCTTGGCCAGAGTCCTTCAGCACAATAAAGGCTGCTGGACCCAGTGTCTGCTGAGCTTTCTTATATGCAGCTGGGCTGAGGAACAATGGGGGGGGCCGGCCTGCCTGCCTGCCTCACCAAGCTGCACGGGCAGAAGTGAGGGCAGCAGCCTGGAAAGGAAGGTGGCTGGTGTTCTGGGGCTGTGGGTTCCTGTTTTCTCTGGCAGCTGTGCCGGGGGCGGGGGGCTGAGCATGTGCCCGGAAGGTACCTTATTTAGCCTGCTCAGAGCTCAGCAACTTCCTTCCTATTACCAGCCACCCTCAGGGAGGAAGCAGGCTCTGTTCAGAGGCATAAGCTAAGCTGCTCCCGTAGGGCACAGGCTCCTCGCTGCTGGGGCCTAGCCAGGGCCTGCTCTGCCTCTGGTCTCTTCCTGCTGGGCGTGGGCAGCTGCAGCCCCTGCTGTGGGGGTGTTATGGCTTTAGCGGGGGGAGCCTTGGTTGGAAGAAGGTGAACTGAGATCAGCCACCCTTTTCTCCTCTTCTCTCCCCCTTTGCCCCCCTGCCAGCTTATGGGTGCCAGCAGGGCCATACTGTGCTTGTTAGGTCTTAGAAGTGCCTGGGTCTAGCTGATGGGTTTCCTGGCCAGTCCCTTGGCCTCAGCTGGAGAGGTTGGAAAGTGCTAGTGGCCACAGAAGGGGCACTGGGGGGGGGGGAGAATGGGTTCATTGTCTTCACAGGGTGTGGGCCTGGCTGCTGGGAGGAGTTAACAGCTTCCCCTGAGGCCTGCTTCCTCATTTGTGTGCTAAAGGGTTTGGAGTCCAGCCCCTGTTGTACGTTGCTCCCTTTAGTCAGAGGGCAGGCTCCCGTGGGCATCTCCTGCACCTATGGGGAGAGGCCTGGCTCTAGCCAAGCCTCCTGCTGAGCTACCTGCTCTCCCAGCCACTGCACCCAGCTAGCCTGAGGGTGGGGGGACAGCTGCATGGAAAGGGGGAGCCAAACTGCTTGTTTGTAATTCACTGCCAGCTGGGGCCTCTGGCTGGCACATGGGTACCCAGGGTGGGGGACAGCTGCATGGAAAGGGGGAGCCAAACTGCTTGTTTGTAATTCACTGCCAGCTGGGGCCCCTGGCTGGCACATGTGCACCCCCCAGGCCGGGCAGTGGCTGGGGCCTCCCCACTCAGCTGAGGAAGGCCCATGGGGCCCGTAAAGCTCCCCGCGGTTCCCGAGCTCTGCCCCGGGGGGGGGAA